GCTATTAATAGTATAAAATAGCGTAAATCGAAAAAATGGCTCTATTACATTAAAGTATACAATTTGCTCTAACTAATGTTTGATTTTACTAATTATTGCTCGATCAGAGACTTTATTACTATTCGAAGAAGAAACACATGGGAATAGGTTCGCTATCAAGCAGGCTCTACCCTTACAAGAATGGTAAATGGTACAACCAGTGCCCTCCTTAATGATCAATCTCAAACTAAACCATCACCGTTCCTACTCTAAATTCCTTCCAAATCCTGCGCCATTTCGACGCCCTAGAGCGATTAGGACAGGTATTCACATAGCTAAAAAGAGAATCGAGTTGCTAAACGTTGTTTGCTTCCCTGCATGTAGTTATAATCTTTTTCACGGTCCTTGCACTGTCATTACAGCCGCAGAGCCCTCATTCTGGGAGAATAAACCAAGGCCCAGTGGTCATTGCACTGTGCATAGCCGCCGAGCCACTTACTATTGAGGGGAACGGGTGGGATGAAAGAGTCAGCCTTTTCTAAGGCGAGCGATAGCGAAGCAAAAGATGCCAATTATCTTTTAAACCGCCATCCTTATAACGCCTTTCCTTTCCTTTCAATTCGCATGCACATGTCTTTCTTTATGCCCCTGGGCCTGATAATCACTACTCCTTTACTGATATTCATAACAACTTTAATAATAATAAATCATATGCAATCATAACCCTAGGAAAGCTAGAAACCTGTATCTAACAAGAACTCAAAGAAAAAACATTGGACTAACCCACCCAAAACAAAAAACATTGGACTAACCCACCCAAAACAAAAACATAACAAACCAAAATATACAATAAAATCATCTGATCTCGCAATAATCATTGTATGATGATCACCATGCGCTACATAGAGACTTTTTTAAAAAATCAGCAGATGATAGCAAATGCCACTGCAATTTGTGCCCTTTCGGATTACAGCTAATAATCCAAAAAAAAGAATCGGGTTATACTAATTGAAAATGATGCTCTCTACTGTTAACTCTGTTATATTTATCTATAGCGCAAGTGTGCTCAATATTTTAGTTAACCTTATGAATTCGATTAGGGATGTGATCAACTTGGTTAGCTTGGCTTAGTTCATGAAGTTATAGCTGAAGCTTAAGCATGTTTTTGCAGCCTTACTTTGATTGATTATAGTAAATGAGCATCGTCAAATTTATTAGCTAATTATGTAGAAATTACTTCTTAATTTGCTTATTCGGTTGGTTACCGAAAATTTTACGTAAATACACATTACTTTGACTATATTGACACCTCTAGATAAATAAAGAAATTGTCCGGTATATTTATATGTAGGTTTAACCAGAGACATTTTCACATTAACTATATTGGTTCAAAATTTTAAAACGTGTCGCTATAATCAGATGTCAGTATATCCAGATATCGATATAACCAAGTAACATGTATAGTGCGTTCTTAACTCTCTACGTGATTAGCTAATAAATGTGAGGTGCTCATTTACTATAATCAATCAAAATAAGAATTGTAATTGATACTTAATAATTGATACTTGCGAGGTTCATTAATATTTTCTCAAATATCGTTATCACGTTTAGTTCGTTATAAAGTTACTTGTGCAATTTTTTTGAACACTTAATTAATTGTTATAAATTAAAATGATAAACTCACGTACTATTTTTTTACAAATAAAAATACGTAATGCACTTTATTAAACTATGATGTTTATTTTAAATATCCCCCTTTAGAATATTTTTCACCTATTGATCTAATATGAGTGCTGCAGAGCGAAAAGCTGGAAGTGAATATTTAAGCTTTCATCATGTTAAGCTTAGCCCATTTAGTCTTGTGAATTCTGATTTACGTAATTAACCATTTAACCATGTATATAATCAGTGTCCTAGTCGTTTAGTAAAATTTCGTATTGTTACTGAACTATCAAACCATTGTTTATCAGTACGTAATATCGAAGTGATTCAGGAGAGAACTTAAATATTCACTTCTAGCTTTACGCTCTGCGGCACTCGTATAATTTAAAGCTCGATGACCGGTTTTGTTTATTATAATTGTAATTGCAATTAATCCAGATGACTTAATCATCTGTTCGTCATTAAGCCTTATCTCCAGACTTTTGACCAATAAAAACTCCTGCTGAAAACTGCTGACCTATTTGATTTTCCTTATTTGAGAGATCAACATTGATTAACCAATCAAATTGTGTGAAAAAAGGAGTCAATCAAAAAAAGGAAAGATAATTTTCATTTAAATCTAGTCAAGTATATGTTTTAATAATTTCAATAAATATAAAGTTTAAAAAAAAAAACAATATTTGAGCGCTGCAGGAGACCAGTAAGTGAATATTTAATTTTTAATTTTTCACTTTATCAAGTTTACCAGACAAATTATAGAAAAGTTTCGCTTGGATCTTGAATTTAGTAATGCCAGGGTTATTTATGTATTATGGTATTACGTAATTTATTTAATATATAATTGTATTACCGAAATTTGAACACTTGACCATCAATAATATCGATATGTAATATCACAATTTTTAGTTCGCTACAACGAATATTTTAAATATTTACAACTAGGTTTCCTTTTACAGTATTCATTTTTGAATTAAATCAAACTTGGAATCATAACTATAATATCTCTAACTAAATAAATTGACTTTCAAAAAAGCCTTGGATTAAAAGGATCTAGCCGCACAAAAAATTCACACAAATTACTTAAATGATGAAAATTAATTAATTTAGATTAATATGAAAAATCAGCTTTGCATAGCAACAACTATACGTATAAAGTTTGCTTTTAATAATGCTTGTATTGGTCACATATAAATTACTTTTATAGTTAATCAGCATAATTTAGATAATGAAACCAATTTATGGATCATATCCCTGCATAAAAGTACTTGTACCTAGACCGCTTTCTGTGATATTATGTGTTCATTAAGTATTCATTGTGTGTATGAAGCTAAAAAATTTAATCAATTACATTTTGTCACACTTGATCCAATGATTTGATTAGTGAATTATTTTTAAAGTTGGTTTAATATATTCATGATATTAGCACTGCAGATTTGTATTTTCTTTTTAAAGTTTAGTATTAAAAGATTAGTATTAGAGTAATTACTAAAGAATCATTTCATGTCATTTTTAAATGGATTTACTTTTTTGTAAAGCGCACAAAACCGTACAAAGTACTTTAGTTACTGCTCGTCTGTACTAATTTGTATTACCATACTACTTTATTATTGGTCTAGCGTAGGTGTGTACAGATAACTATAAAGTGTCAAATATGAAATTTCGCTCGTCAGAAAATAATATATAGTTATTTTATAGGCTGATCATGATAAAGGGATCACCATTTATTTATAGAATAAAGTTTTGATGTTAGTGGATCTTCTATGCGAAATGAGTTATTTCTATAATAAGATCCTTACATTAACTCTAAATATACCAAATAGTAACTTACTATTTCTAGTTTTAGTGTGTATAAGTTAGTATACAGTATGTCATATGTTAATAAATCTAACACATAAAGTCATCTCACATAAGTTGAAGATTGCCGCCATCTTGCGAGATTATGCAAAGATGGCGGCGTAGCGCGTGAATAAACATATAAGTTGTATATATTCTGTTTAGCACAAAAGTAAATATTATGTTGTGCTTGTAATTTTCAACTATCACGGTGCCAGTTCAGAAACGACGTACTTATAAAATCAAATCCCTGAAATTTGATCGTCATGCATTACTTATATGCTACAAGGTGCAATCTTCTATCTACATAAATGTAATAAGATATTAAATTACGTGCATAAAATTGAAAAACCTTGATGATAGCCAGTGTAGATTATAGACAGGATAAGGGAAACACAACGATGATCAACATTACTTTTAGCTTTAATATGGAAAGGCTTCTACCGAAATGTGGTCTGTGCAATCATGATTATTAGAGTTCATGAACTCATCAATATATAGCTTTGTATTTATATTAATTAGATTCGTTACTACTGGTAATTGTGAGAGTTAATTATTAGGATGAAACTATTATTAAAACTTTCCAAATGCTAGACAAACTCTGTGTTATTCTTTATTGAAGGTAAGCTTTAATAGATCATACTTTCTCACTACATATGAAATAAATTTATTAAATTTTGTCTATTTACATCGTTTACCAAAAATTTTGTCAATCAATACACTAATTTAGCAATTTACAAATCTAAAAAATTAATTAATCTTCATATTGCACTGGTTGCGTAACATTTTTTGGAGAGTTGATTTAATGAACTTGAAAAGATTATTAGGTCACACCAGATACTAGATACTGTATAAGTGATACTTTCGATATTAGCAACTGACAGGTGTCAACTTCGGATACAACATAATATTTAATACATACTATATCATACTGTATATTCTTTAAGCACAAAAATTATTATTAACATAATTTACACACAAAAAATCTTAGCACTAACGGATGGTATGCAATTAGAATCTCGACTGCAATATCAACTGTATGTTTTACAAAATGTATGTCTTAAACAAGCACATAATGCACGTACATACTTCAGTACTTGTTTGTTTTGATTATTTTGTAAGCAATTTTTGAAATTGGTACATTCCTGTCTATATTTGGGAATGGGCAAAAAAAAAAACAAGTGATAATTGATCCGAATATTTTAAATCAAATATCCCAATATTTCTGTATTTAGATTGCCGTCCCCTAACCAAGGATATGCGTAAGGGTTAACCCTTTGAGTTTGCATTTATTGCTTTTTATATTAAAATTATATAATTAATAAAATGTATCGGATAAATTTAAGCAATGCTTGGGAAGTTTACGTCGTACATAATAGTGAATATATCATTGTACCAATCTTTATTGTTATCCTAATTTAATAGTAGTAGTGAAACTTAACTCTAATCCATATAAGTCTTATATTTAGTAAAATACGTTCAATTTTCAAAATTGTGAGATACCACAACAAACCCTCATTGAAAAAATGGGAAACACTCCTTCCTCCAAAAACAAAAAAACGAACCATGATAACATAACTAATTTCGACACACTCTCTCAATTTATTTCTTCAATCACTGGTAAAGCTAAAGTATTTGACCGCGAGCAGGAAATTTCTGCTCTACGTCATTTTATTGTAAGGGAAATTTTTGGTTCGAATTTTTTATCTCCCATTAGTAATGAATTAAAACATGGTGGATTAAAGGTTTTAGATGTGGGGTAACTAGTTTATTTAATAATTTCAATTATCCGATACCAACAGAATAATGTATAGATATTGGATGCGAAGCATCTAATAACAGGATTAGTAATAAAAATATCCCATTATCTTAATATAGTGTTTGATATAGTGTTCGGGGTATTTTTCGTTAAAAATACCCCATTATCTGGTTTTAAATTTAATGAGCCAACTTCTGGGCCCAAGCCAGGTAAGTAAGCTATTGGTGCGTAGCATTCAATAACGGTATTGTCCGATAACTTATGACGACTGGACCATCGGAATGACTTGAGCTGTTTTTGATGGTAATTACGTTATCACCAACTAACAAAGTTATTTGGTAAAACGTAATTACCATCAAAATAACTCGAGTTATTCTGTTAGTTAGATCATAGTAAGCTATCAGATAACTCGAATTATTTTGAACTCTATTATTTGATAATCATCAAAAGAACTCGAGTTATTCTGTTGGTACGATCATAATAAGATACCGTATAATACCATTATTGAATGTTACTCTGAAATTATTTTACAAATAATTTCCGTTATTACTTACCTGGCTTGGGCCCAGAAGTTGGCTCATTAAATTTAAAACCAGATAATGGAGTATTATTACAAATAACTATATATTATTATTATGCCTTTATTTTTATCTGGTCCATCTACTTACTAAAAATCTCTTTATTTAGTTGTGGATTTGGCATGTGGCTATTTGAAATGTCCTCGATTTATTCTCAAAGTAGCTTTGTTGGAGTAGATGTAACCCACCAACTTTTTGCTTCTATTAAGCCAAAAAATGTGGATCTTGTTTCAGCAGACGTTAATGATGGTCTGCCATTTTGTGATTGTACTTTTGATTTTGTGTTTATTCGCAAAGTCAGTTACGATTTACTAGAATCACAATGGGTTTCCCTAATTAATGAATGCGTACGTGTTTTGAAACCGAACGGTTATTTTGAGGTAAAAAATCTTGATATCTTTATTATTATTTTTTTTTTTTGCCAAATAATATTAATATTATGTTTCGTTTTTTTTCATTAATATTTTGTTTATTAGATAACCGAAGCGGAATTGCGTGCTAAAAACATTGGTCCTATGTTGCAAAACTCGTCAAAAAAATGTATGTAAACTTTAGTATTAATCATTAATGTCCTTAAATCAATATTATTGAAATTATATGTACTTTTCAAATAACAATTAGACTTTGAAATCCTTTCTTCAAGTAAAGCAAACCTAAAGATTTGTGAAAAAATCGAGGAATTTCTGGAATCTACCCATAAGCTTCAAGATATTGTTCATTATAAAAAGGAATTCCCTCTTGGCTCTTGGGGTCCTAATGAGATGAGAGAGGCGTATAGATCTTATAGCACTTTTGTGTTTCGATCCGTTATAAAATTAACGAATATGAAAGAAGAGGATTATAATAATACGATAAATGACCTCATAAATGAGGCCAATGCATATCAAACTTTTTTTTATTTGCATAAATTTGTTTCAAAAAAGATCCAGTCATAAAATATTTATAAGCAAAAAAATTAATAATTTATAACGAAAATAATGACACATATGAGGATTTATAACCTAGATCCATACAAACTTTTAATCAATATATCTAGGTTCCTGAAAGTCATTCTCCTAAAAAGGAATATGATCCCAACAAAATTTGTCGAGGTGATGATTATCAGAAAATAAGACAGCAGTAACGTCTTTAATTTATTATGTTAATTATGATACTTACAAAAATTAAAATATTTCACCACCTTTTCTTTTAAATGGTATCTTTTCAATACGTTATAAAAAGATTTTTTGACAATATCTGTCAAAAAAACTATGTATTTTAAAGGTTTTTTTTTTATTGAGAAAATACATTTTAAAAATTCAAAGTTTATAAAAAAATTTTTTTTTCACTTTTCAACCATTTTAGGATACAACTTATACTTATTGAAAAATTTCATACGTAAACACGTATTATGCGGCGTCATTAGCGCCTTACAATTTTGACTCAAATTCTAATAATGATAAGGTTAAATTATAAAATAGTTACTCCTATTCATAATGTATTAAAAAATGCAATAATTAATAAAATTAAAAATGCAGTTTTTAAAACTTTTATGTAAAAATAGACCTGATTTAAATTTACACGCCTATTTCATGAATGTTTAACATTTTCTATTTCATGAATGTTTAACATTTTCTTTTTATTGAATTGATTTGACAAATGAACTTTATTGAAAATTCAAAGATAATCATAAGTATATGCACACATTTTGACAAGTTAATTCCATGAAAAAAAATTTTAAGTAATAGATAGAAGTCAGGATTTTTTCGACCTAAATGATAACTATGATTGATTTTTTATTTTATATTAGATCCATTTCTCAATTTTAAGGAGCAAATTTACAACCTTCCTAGCATTATCTACATAGGTATAACATAAAATTAAACATAATATACTTGTTAGAATCGCTTTCAAATGACCGTCGACTGAAAATTTACGTACTTGAATTTAAAATTTATACCGATTAAAATATAACGTATATCAAATTTTCACTCTTACTAAAACGCATCTATGATGTTTTACACTTATGAATACATTGTCTCAAAAACTAGCTATTTAATCTGTACGAGGGGTCTAAGTAAAATCGTTCTAAACCCTTCAAACCCTTCCCAAACCTTAATTCTAACTCTAAATACTAATCCTAATTTGAAAATTTTTACATTAAAAATACCATATACAAACTTATAAAAAATTAGGAAATTCTAAAATATAATAAAAATACCAACTATCATAGGTTGGGGTGTCTATCATCGGTCCAATTACAAACATAGTACAGATGATATAATGTTGATTCCCAATTAAGGTTTTAAGATTTTATTTAGTGCTACATCACTAAAACTAGCAGTCTTTAAAAATTCCTATTCATAGAAGACTTCGTGTAACGACGGACGTACAGACTTCTCAAAAGAAGCGTACAATTTGGTAGGTAAGTATTTTAATTAATACTTTATTGTTGATGTCTGTCTTTTAGTTTGTTACATTATTTACTTATATACTTTTTTTGCCTTTTGCTATTTATGTTAATTCTATTAAATATTTACATATGTTAAATATGAGTCCTACCTAAAGAAGTATAGTCGGGAGTACAAAAGTAGTTGCGTATGACTAGCTTTTATTATCATACTCATTTGTATGATAGTTAATCATACTCACGTTATGATAGTTAAGACGAGTATCTATTAATTTGCCTTTGAAATTAAGTGCGACAAAAAATGGTGTTCGAGATGTTGTTCGTGGTATAATAGTTGAGGAGTTTCTAAATTAAAGAATTAAAGAATTAGTGCAAAAGAAAAAAAAAATGAGATACGAATATTGTAAAGGTACTTATTGCTTAGTTTCGTTGATGGGTCTTGTGTCGATTGCGATCATTGATCAAATCATAGTTAATTAGTTAACCAAGGTCAATGAAAATCAAATATGATGCATGAAAAATGTAGTAAATGAGAAAGTCAAATAGCGAATAATAAATTATGATATAATAAAGGTGCAAGTTAAATATCGTAAGAAAATTATAATGCAATTAATTTAAAGTCAAATTTAATATATATAAGGAACATAAGGAAAATGAAAAAAAATACTTTTCACTTTTGATCAAACGTAATACTAGCGTTGACATAACCCATACCTTTGAATTGAGACGTTAGTAGTTGACCTTGTACTAAAAATCATTTGATTAGCAACAAATAGTCAATTTTACTTAAATTCAAATTTCATTTGACAGTTCAAAAATGGATCATTGCTTTCAAATTATTGATGGTATAGAAACTATGTACGAAAAGGATTTAGAACTGTTTAATGATGAGAAATCTGAAACTGACAGTGTAGGTGTATAATTAAATTACATATAATATTGAATTGGAACTTAAGTAACTATTTATTACAATAGAATTTCATTTTGGAAAATGATGTTCATATTGAAAATAATTCAGTAACATTGCATGATGCAAATGATGAAAATACAGTTATCTATTTTACAAAAGAATTGGCATCACATATTATTTATCATATATCGACACTTATAGAATATCCAGTTACAAGCCCAGAAGGAGTTGCATATGTGTTTAACATTGAAGATTAAAAAGAGTCACTATCAGCATTCAAAGATGTATGTAATTTAATTTAAATTATTTTAATAATTAAGTTTATTTATTTATTATATTAAATTATTAGATTCAGTATTTGATTAGTAAGCCTAGAGGTAAATATAAAGTTATGTGTCTCTACCTTGAAGTTGAAGTTAAATGTGAGATATGAACTTGTCAAGGTTCAAGCTTTGTATATTTGCTGTTTTTGAATTTTATAATGGAACTTATCAAAATATGAATTTGAATTCTGATCTTGTATTATGAATTATACAAGAAATTTCATTAAATAATATTGACAACAATACTTTTGAATAAGTTAAAATTTTATTTAATAATTTAAATAAATATTTAATTATTATATATATATTTATTTTATTAATAGGATTTATTTTGCTATTCAAAAAATTTTATACAAATTTAAAATTAATAAAAGATTATATAAAGTTTTTTGTTATTTGGCTTATCATAATTCATTAAATATTTTATTAGTTGTGCTAAATAGAAATATAATAAAAAACATCATCAATTTATATTTGTTTCTTCAAATATTAATTTGGAACCTTTTAAATAATTTGTACAATAGTACTTATAAAATAATATATAATATCTTATTTATTTATTAGTTTTAATAAATTAACTATATTACTAATAAGTTATTTTAATTATATAATACAATTAAGATATTTAAAACTAGTCTGTAAATAAATATTTATCATGTTATCTAATTCATCTAAAAAAATATTATGGCATAAAAAATTTTATAAACATATCATATATATTATTTAATAAAATTTATATAATATTATTATTTTTTTTAGTATATACACATTAATCAAGAAATGTTATATACTGTATTTCTATTATTAAAAAATTTTTTAAAGTTGAATTCTATAAACTTACATCATTAAACCTTAAAGAATGTATTTTTGTAATTTTTTTTTTATTTATATAATATCAAGTAGGAAAAATAGTAATACATAGGTATATCAATTGGATATAAATGTATAAATAAAATATTTCTAAACTACACTATTGTTGTTATATATATAATAACATCTAGCATGTTATTACCCTTTAATTTTCTGTTTTAGTTAAATCTACTATTGTAATTATTAACTACAAAGAAGGGTAAAAGAAACTCTTAAGATTATTTTAATTTAGTAAAAGCAGGTATATATAGTGAAATTTTGAGAAAGAGTTTTAAGAATAAATTGGTCTATATTGGTGTTGAATGCAAAAATATTGTTATTGGAGTTAGAAGGTTGTATAATTGGTAATCAGGCATTATTTTTTCTTTTAGTAAGGGTAGTAATTCCTTATGCTAATTCCCATTTATGTTGTTTAATATTATGAGTTTGCCAGATAGTAAAATTGAATAAAGAGTTAGATAAGGAGATAAGAAAGTTATTAGTTAGTTTTTTTAGAATTAGTTGAAGTTGTTTATATTGGTCAAGTATAATTGTGTCTTAAATAAATAAAAATATTGAGTTATATATAGTAGAGTTTGGAAAGTGATTTTGTGAGTTAAAAATTTGAATTATAGTGTGTGGTATAGCTTTAAAGAAGTTTAAAGAGCTTAAGATATTGGTAATTTTGTTGATAAAAATGTTTTGTAGATTGTAAGTATGAAGTAAGCATTGAAGTAAATATTCAGTGCTTACATATTGATTATAATAAAAGCAATTGGAAATTAAATAGAGAAGAGAGTAGTGAATATTTAAATTTGACATTGTTGATAAGTTATTAAGAAGGATTTTATTTCTAATTGAATGAAGTTTCAAATTAGAATTTTGGAAATTAATAATTTTGATAAGTAGTAGAATGTTTATAATAGGAAGGTTTCATAGTAGTTTAAGTTAAAGAAGTTTATTAAATATTTGAATAGAAAAGATGTTTTTGTAGAATTTATGGAGCTTGTATATAATTGATATTTCTTTCCAAGTAAAGAAAGTAGATAAATAAAAATAGTTGAAATTATATTTTAGATCTGTTTTTTTTGCACCTTGTTTAACTAAAGCATCAGCAATATTATGTAAGGTGTTATTTGAATGTGATTTAACTTTGTGTATAGTATAATTGATGTTTTTGAGTTTGGTTAGGTAGTTTAGAATATGGATAATATTTCAGTTGTTTTGTTTGATTTGAGAGTTGTAGTTGTAAGGTATTGAATTAGTAAGAGTTTGTAAAATAGATAAGCTGTCTAAATGAATGTGAATTGAATAGTTGGAAGTTAAGATAAGAAATAGAAGAATGAGTACTGCTAGTTCTGCTCATGTTAAGTTTGGTGCAAGGTTTATAGAAGCATTAAATTTAATTTGTATATTATTTTTCAGAATCCTGACTATGCCAGTAGAGGTGTTGTGTGTTTGTAAATTAAGTATAGAAGCATCTGTATAAAAATGTATGTTAGTTGGTTCGAGAGATAGTAATTTTTTGTGAAGGATTATGAGTTGGTTTTGGTATATGAGATCAGATATTGTGTTTTGTATTAGGAGCATTTCTGAAGAAGATAGTAAAAGCAATAGTAGAGATTTTGGAGCTGGTTTATATAGATCTGTGTGAATATTATGAAGTGCTTTGATTTCTTATTTAAGATCTCTTAAAATTTACTTCTAACTAAATATTGAACTTTAATAACTATTTTTTATCTTATTCTAAAACTGCTTTTTGATTCTAAAAATAAAGACAATAATAATTGCTAATGGATATAATAATAAAAATTTTTTAATAATTATATATATTTATTTATATTAAAAATAATTAATTATTTTATAAATAATTTATATTAAATTAATTTTTTTAATTATTATTTTAAAATTTTATTTTTAGATTTATAAAGAAGCTTAGTATATAAACAATTTAAAAATATTATTGTTGATAAATAGAATAGTTTTTATAATCTTGTAATAAAAATTGCATATTTATTAAATTTAAGATTCTAAGATAAAACATTAGCTGATAATATTATGACAACAGTATCTAATTTTATTAAACAATATTATCCTATATTCAGTATTAAAATTTATAGTTAAATTTTAGAATATATAGCATATTCTTGTTTATTTAATAATAGTATTGCTTGGAAAATTATTAATTCTGTAGATCAATTAACTTGGTGAACAGAAAATTTTATAAATTCAACACTAGAATTTACTTAATTTGTTAAAAAATTTTAATAATTTCTACTTTATTTGTTGTAGCTGAATGTAATTGATCAGCTTTTAAACAAATCTGTTCTGAAAAAAGAAATAGATTTAAATTATTAAAATTATTTAAATTAGTTTATATTTATAGTAAATATAAATTAACAAATTCTTAAGATAATATTAAAAAAAACTAATAAATATAAATAATAATACAACAAATTCTGAAAATAATTTTAAAAAATTTTTTAGATAATAATAAATTAAACTAAAACTTTTTAATAAAAATAAATCAGATAGTAAATTTAAATTAAATTTAAATTCAGAAAATAATAATAATAATAAATTATTTGATTAAACTAAATTAAATATAATGATAAATAATAAATTTTTATTATAAATAACTAATAATATTTATTTTTAGTTATAGTTAGTAATATTAAAAAAAATTAAAAATATAAAAAAATTTAAAATTAAAAAAATTTAAAAAAATTAAAAATCAAAAAATATTTTAAAAATATATATAAATATAAAAATATAAAAAATATTATATTTATAAGATTAATATTATATAATGCTTATATTATTTTTTTTTGGTATTAAGGTGAGGCCTTGATCATATCTTTATTAGTAATTTTAGTTGTATATATTAATATACTATATATTAAAGATATACTAAGATTGTAAAATACAAAATAAATCTACATGCAAGAATTAAAGCTCAGACAACTTTATCTGTGATCTAAACCAACTATGGTAGTCAAGGCCAATCTAGATTTGTAATATTAAAATATGATTATAAGATGTACTATAATTAATCCAGACTATCAACTATATATTTATTTTCCTAATAGCCTGTCCAATTGGTAGGCAGGTATTAGAGTATAAGTGTAATTGATCTGCTATTCCATATAGACATAAATATGTATAGTTTATATATAATCTTTTGTGATATCTAATTTGTTGTATTCATTGTAAAGTATTGTGATTGTTAGAGGTTTGAAGAGATGTAATGTTATTATTTTTTTTTAATTGGAGAAGTTAATACAATAAGGTTTTTATATTTGGTTATAGATTTGATCATTAATATTAAAGAATATTTAAATAATAGTTTGTAAAGCTATTTTAGTAGGTATATTGTAATTATAGATTGTTTTGATTAGGGCTTTGGGTATAAGGCCTTAAAGAATAAGGTCCAGATAGAAAAAGTTTGCTTGAAATAATATTTGGTCAAATAAGAGATGGTTTTGAATTTTATGAATATGTTTATGTAGCTGACTAGTAGATAAATTAAAATCTGCTTTAGATAAAATATTAATGCTTATATTAATATTTGTATTAGGTTAAATTAGAATTATATAGTTTAATAATATAGTATTATATAATATAGTATTATAAATATTATTTTTAATATAGATACAAACTTATTTATATTACTAATTACAATTTGATTTTACTAAAATAATATTATAAGTTTATATTTTTTTTTTTTTTTTTGTTAAGGTGACCTCTTTGGTCTTTTGACTTTTATTAATCACTTATCGATATTGTGGTTCAATAAACTACTACAAGAGAGTGTACAATTGGCTACATGTGTAACTTTTCTATATTACCTATTTAAGGAGTCCACCCAAAGGTTCTCCACCAATTGCCATACCTAACACCTCTGCTTGGGTGTTTTCTTTAAACCCTCTGAACCTGTAATCTGTGTTAACATCACTGGTCATCTCTGATGTACCAGATTAACATCCTCAACATTAGAACTAATTTATCCTTAAGGTAAACCCCCCAAAGCCTTCTGTACCTATTTTTACAGCTGACCTAGGTATTGCTATGGCAGAACCAACACT